AGCATGGAAGTTTCCATACCCCTCCCCCATGCCTTGCCCTATACATCTCTTCCACTTGGCTGTTCCTGAGTTATACGTTTTATGATAAAACAGCAATAGCAAATAAACTGTTTTCTCAGTTCTGTGAGCCATTCTAGCAAATTACTGAACCTGAGGTGGGATCATAGAAACTTCCAATTTATAGCCAGTTGGTCAAGAAGTAAGGAAAGGGAGACCTGGACTTGTGATGGCTCTGAAATGATGGCAGTCTTGTGGGACTGAGCCCTTAACTTGGAGGTCTTGCTAACTCCCATACAGTCAGAATTGAAATAAATTGTAGAACATCCAGTTGGTGTCTGAGGAAAACCGGATCATTGTTTGGTATAGAAAACCCATATATTTGCTGTCAGAAGTGACTATTCTAACAATTCTGCAGTAAATTTAAAATAGGTGAGCTTGCAAGAAAGAGGAGGAAATTCTGTTTATCAAAAAGAAAGTAGGAACTAAAAAACACACTGGTAGGCATATGAAGCTGTTAGGAGAGAGGAGGTATCTAAATTTGTAATGTATTTGTTTTGATAGATTGTCTACACTAAGAATTGTAATGATACAAAGTTCATTACACTTATAGCTGTGACAGATTAAAAAAACAAAAATTTGATTTCAATTTATATTCATATTTTTGTGATAAAAATGATGATAGTATGATCATAAAAGAGTTTTTTAGTATGAAAATCTATTAAAGTAAAATAAAATTATGCAGGGAAATGTATTGGAAGTTTGAGATTAAGGATGAATAGAAACCTCTACTTCTAAATGTCAAAGAAAATATATTTACCTATTTTTCAATGGATGGTCAGAGTAAGATATTTAGATTACATTGGATATTTTTTGAAGGACAGTTTTGTTTAAAAATTCAATAATTTATAGTAGGTTGAAAATTAGAACCTTTAAAACTGTATAAACATGATGCATTTTAAATGTTAATTTAAAAATGTGAGAGGGGATATGTGGTTTTAAAAAATGAATAAGAAGGTCTTAGTTTCCTAAGCATGGCTGGAAGAGCTTGTACCTTTGAAAATGAGTTTCCTAAATTGTAAAATGAGCATAATATTCATTCTACTTCAAGAGTAAATTATATATATGTTCAATATGTATTCACTAGATACTATAATCTTATACACACACACACACACATATATATATATATGCTTTTTGTAAAATGTAATACAATATAATTAAATTTATGAGGGCCTAGAAAAATAACACCTCCCTTAATTTTAAGTCCTTTTTATATGAACTAGACAGACCAAGGAAGATGTCACATGACAAACCCCAGCTGTCAGTCATGAAAACCTGATTCATTTCCAGGGTCTATATTTTAAATTGGACACATAAATAATGAAATTCCCTATGTGCCACAATTCTTTAAAATTAAGCAGCAAATATGGGAGGGTATTACAAAAACAGATTTGGGAACTAAGGCACTGAAATGTTCAATAAAAAAGAAGCAGGGAATTTAGATTCAGAAGCAATCTTTGAAGGGCAATCCTTACCCACTCAATCCCATGTTTGGGGGACAGTTTGCAACTTCTTAAATTTATAATAAGCATTTTGCAACATAAATTGTAAGGCCTGTAGCAAGATTATGAAATTTATGCCCATTTGGGGGGCCTCTATCTACAGTTCTCAGCAAGTCCATTTAGATGGAGCCAATTACTGAATCTTCTCCAGGCAAACCAAGCATACTAGATAATATATCATACTGGAACAAAAGACAATTTCGCTAAGTATATATTTTATATTCTAAACTGTGCTTAATCCTGACTAAAGGTTGAGCCTGATAATTTAACTAAATGATTTGATAAATAATTTAATAATAAGGTATTTACCAAAAATTTAATACATAAAATTTTATTAAAGTGTACAATTATATCTATAAAGTTATTAATATGCTCAGTATTTTGCAACTTCTTCCAATCATTTTCCAATATTTAGTTTAATTTATATTTGTAAAGTTTCTGCTAAGCTAGGAAAGTTTGAAACTGATTAGGTTCATTAAGCTGATATTATTTTTTCAACTTCCACAGTGGAAATTTTAAAGGCATTTTGCTTATACCCACTGTGAAGATATCATGTTGTGTTCTATGAAGTATATACAAATGTATAAGACAGTCTCTGAACTCAAGGAAATTATCAATCTTATCATTGATACAGAAACACTGAAAGTACTATACAGTGAACAGCACCTAGCACAATTAACATTTTACTATACAGTATTTCCTCTTATTACTATATTTGCTTTATCTATATTTTATTTTTTATGTACATAACTATTCACCTGTCTATACATCATCAATTCATCTTATATTTTTAATAAATTTCAAAGAAAGTTGCAGGCATAAGTATGTGTCACCCCTAAATACTTTATCATATCTACCATTAACTAGAGTTTAAATTTTAATGGTTCTTAAAATTTACAAACATGAAATGCACAAATCTTAAGTGTACCATTTGCAGATTTGTACAAATGCTTATGCCTCTGTAACCCAAATTCCTATCAAGGCATAGAACATTATTGTCACCAAAAAATTTCCCTTATACCCATTCCCAGTCAATCCTCATCCCAACTACTGTGATTTTTTAAAATCAAAAATTAGTTTTGTAGATAACTTTTAAATCCAAAATTTAAAACTAAGAGTGATCATTAGGCTGAGGAATGAAAGGATATATAGATATATGATTAAGTAAATATGGCAAAATGCCTAACAGTTGTAGAAATTAGGTGTTGGGCGTATGGGTGTGCCAATTATCAAGTGATTATCTCTCAGCTCTAAATCTACCTTCCTTTGCCCTGCTTTGTGACTCTGGAATGAGACTCTAAACATGTCTCCTCTACCACCTTAAGAGAGGGCAATGGAATGACCCTGTAAGGAGGTAGCAGCAGAGACACTTCCCTTCCAGAATCCGGCCCTCCATTATTATTATTCAACATGAAAGCTAAGGGCTTTGGGAAGAGACAGATTCCAGCTGTGGCCTCAGGTCCCAGTCTCCCCTGACAGTGGTCACTTGTACAGACCATGTAGCCATGGCAGATATGCCCTTTCCGAAGACGTTTGTTTCCGTATTTTAGGAAGAAGAGCTCTCTCCCACGGGATTTTGCTTCCACATCCTAAAAGGAGAAACTACACTTTGCATCTGCTACTGCTTGGACCCTTAGACTGAGAGCTCTTTTACTCCATTGAATAGTTAACCACTCCTTCTCTTGTTCTGCTTAACAATTCACCATATTCAATTTTCAAATAACCTATATTTCTGTTTCTTAACTGAACTCAGACTACAAAAAGGGTATTCATTGTACCATGGATGTTACACACATTAAAATATAGACACCCAACTGAATTTCTCTCCTAACCCCCATTATTGATAGAGTCTACACCTGTCACGCTATTTCAAGCCTCTACGTATAGCACATGCTTTTCCAGTGGCAAAGGTATTCCAAAATAGTGGACAAATGATGCTCAGTGTTACCCAGGGAATGACTCTTCTTTCCCAAACCTCCTGAAGACTTGGGCTTGCTCAAGATCCAAGATAATGTATTGTTTGTAAACATTCTTTCAAACTGACACACAAAGACTGCTAATATGTGTTCTTCCACGATAAAAAGTTAGTGGTTGCGACAAGAATTGGGTTTCTTTCTTGCCTTTGACAGGGCTCTTCCTGTGTAGTCAGTCAGTATCAGAAACAGCTATGCACTCTATCGGGAACACATGCCAAAAGAAATGCCCCAACAAAAACATGTTGCAGCTGCTCCTGCTCTGGTTGATGCCTTGTTTCCACTAAATTCTAGCAGCTGTGCAACACAACTTTCTGTGATGAGGGAAATATTCCACATTCTGTCACACGGGTTACTTACTGAGCACTTGAAATGTAGTTAGTGTGACTCATGAAATGGATTTTTAATTTTAGTTCATTTTTGTTAATTAAAATTTTAAAAACCACTTCTACAGTCTTGGGCAACACAGTTCTAGAACCTATTTTTTTTAAAAATCAGGAACTTAAAGAATATGTTTGCATGTTGGGAGTTTTCTGACATAGAAGTGGCGTTTGAAACCACGACCATGCAACTCATGCAAAGAATACAGGCACTGCAGTGTTAAGAGGTCAGAAGTAAAAAGAACTTGCAAGGAACACTGGGAGGGAGCAAGCAAGCAGTAACATATAGAGGAAAACCAGAAAAGTATGTCTGAAAGCAATTCAAGGGGAGAGAGTCATTCGGCCATAAATGCTATTGATAGATCAAGTTGAAAAGTAAGGTATTATTTTTCTTTTCCACAACAGCAAACCCTCCAAAACTGAAGAACAAAAAACTGAAAGACACCACTTGGAGTTCATTTACCAACGATAAAGGAAAACCAGAAGTTATACTGTTATCTGGTATAGATATTTCATTCATATTCATTACATACATGCTATTGCAGAACAATACGTCTTCATTTTTAAATCCACGTGAAGCAGGGTTTCAGCGAGCACAGCAATTCTCTTGGGCAGCATTAATTATAAATGAAAACCTCTTAAGTTGTCTCACCAGCTGAGACTGCCTGAAACAATCAGTGTCTCCCATTCCACTCCCACGCTTTCCTCAGAAATGCAGGTGTGGCATCATTTTAAGGTAAAGATGGTTTAAAGAACATAAGTTTCCAAAAGAGAATGGGCAAAATTGTCAACATCCACAAAGGGCGTAGAGAAAAAGTTAGATCCGTGGACCATGAGCTCCAGGACCGGAGGGGTTCACCTCCCACAAACCAGGCGTTCAGTTTTTGTCATTTAACTTTAAAAGAGTTGCATCTTACAACTGCACAGAGGGGACCCTACGGAATTCTGAGCGGAGAAGGACCGGCGAGCGGCATCCGCCCGATGTATCAACACTCGGGTAGAGAAGGGAACGCTGGACGGCGCACAATTGCATCCCGGACCCTAAAGTTTAAAGGAAAACCCCTTATCCTCCGTCCCGGGCTCACCTGCCTCCGGAGTGGGGAAGACGCGTGGCTCCGGAGCCTCGGACGGGGCGTCCCGCAAACCCCTCACTTCGTCGCCGGACACTCCCTGGGGCGCAGGGTCCCCTGGCTAGGGAAGGAGGACCCGGGAGGGCGCGGCGCGCCGACTCGGTCTATCTCCGAGCAGCTGCAGCCACTGATTCCTCAGGTTCCCCCCCGCGGCCGGTGAATGCGTTTACTCCCCCGCCTCGTCGCTTAGCAACACTAGAAGCCGTCCAGTCTTCCGGACACGTCAATTCCTCCCGCCCCTCCAGAGTGTGAATAGTTTTTTAAAAGATTGTGTTTCCGGGTCGAGGGGGGCCGTGCGTAGCGGAAGGTCTCTTTACCTCCCACATTGACCTCGGGGGTTGGATAAAGTCTCAGGGGCGCACGTGTGGATGAGGTAGCTCAGTGGTCTGACTCCACTCCCTCCATTTACGCACGCCGCCCCTCCCACCATCTGCTGCCCAAACCATCCGCCGGTCGCGGTTCTCCAATCACAGCGGCTCGCCCCCGGGGACTACTTTTCCACCTGCGAGAAGCGCAGAGATAAGAGCGTGAGACGTCACTGTGGCCTCGGGAAGTGTAGTCCAACACCTGAAGAAATTCGGTTGGAGACTGCGCTGGAATCGGGGAAGCCTAAACTACAATTCCCAGAGGGCGCCGCGGTCGGGAGCGGAGCCTTTTCTCTCTCTTTCTCGGCGCTCGCTCTTCCCCATTCGGCCCCACCGTAGAGGTGACCTGACTCCCCGAGTCTCATTGTGCAGGTGCTGGAATTGTCCGCGCAGTTTCCAATCATGGTGAGTGTGGGCCCCTGGATTATGCCTTTATTCCCTTATGTGGAGATTCTTGCGCTTGGAGGACTTTTGGGGGATGGCTGTGCAAAGCACTGTCCTTCGCGCCCTTTGGAAAACCCCGACTCATCTTCTGAGGACTGTCGCAGTGACCCAGTAATTGGGAAGGGGTTGGTTTCCACCTGGGGCGGGGGTTCTCCGGAAGGTGTGATCTCAGTCCTACTGCATGGCGGGGGTACAAAAATATGAAGCGGTGGATTGTCTACAAGCAAGAAATGGGGTTTGATACTGGGAGGGGGGGGGGGCTCCCTAACCTTTTTTCTACTCTTATGCCCACAGTGTTTTTAAGGGCTTTTGTCAGAAAGCCCTTGAAAGCCGAAGACCCTCGACTGTAAAGATAGTGTTTACCTGGTGCTCCAGATTACGATCTACGCTTTCGGGAGACGAGTTTCAGCCATATCTAATTTAATGTCATTTAAAACCTGCTCATTGATCCTGTGTAATACTGGGACGTGCTGCAGTGACAGCATCAGTAGCCCAATAACTGGTGCAGATATTCTTTACTGATCTGTATGTTTTGAAATCGAGAGCTACTACTTTTAAATGTTACACAACTTAACCATCGTGTCATGAAGATCTGGATGCGTAGATTACCAAGTAACCTTGTCTCTGCTGAAAGGAGAAGGGGGGATGGTGAGGGAACTCTGACGTAGTAATGATCTGCCCGCTGTTTGAAGGTGACATTTGACATCACACTGAAAAATTGCTTCAGTACTTGTATTTATAGTTGAGACTATTTTTCCTCCGTTATCTCAAAATACTGAAATGGGTGGGGAGTGTGGGAAAATATTTGAATGAATTGGAAATTTTCCAGAACCTGAAAATGCTATTGATAGACCAAGTTGAAAAGTAGGGACAGCTACTAATTCTCAGTTAAACCTAGATTTCTTACTTATTTCATCAAATAACGTCATTAATCATTTAAATAATGGTTCATTGGTTCCTGACCTAATCTTGGCAAGAAAGCAGAGGTTTATTATCAGAGAACTTCAGACTTTATAATTTTAAAATTGATGGGACCTTTTAAAGGTTATTTTGACAAATCTCCCCACTTCAGATCTTAAAATTGAGTTTATTGAACCCCAAAGAGAATGTGGTTTGCTCAAAGTCACACAACAGTTTGCCTTCAAGGGTCTCGCACTCTTTCCATTTTACCGTATTGTGTCATACAGATACTTAGCAGGTCATTCTGAAGTTTTGTTTTTAGTAGCTGAGGTTCTAGATGAAGGTGCAAGCTCATGCTGCAAATATAAACTAAAGTATGGTATCAGCATTTATATTACCTGATAGCTTTATTCCTTGCAATTCAGAATATTGGAATTCTAGAATTGGAAGGGAATTTGGAGATTCTTTAATCTTAAAATATAGCCTGGTGAGGTCAAATGATTTTCCCAAGGTCACAGAGAGATCTTAAATCCCCATTCTTGTGTTGATTTGCTATGCGGTAGATCAAGCCAGCCTCACCCCTGGAAGGTCACTGAGCACCAGGTAACACAGAGACCTCTATGAGGACCAATCCTCCTGTCCAGTTGCCGAAACTGACAGCAAATTCTCACATGACTCAGAATCTCCTTGCCTTCGCAGGAGAGTGTATGAACAATCACTGGGCTAGAAAAGAGCCATCTTCTGTAAGCTATTCAAAGCAAAAATTTTTTTAAAGGAGACAATTCTTTGCTTGCATTCCTCCTCCATAGGAAGTGACAGTAAGAATAAACTATATGAAGAAATCAGAATAATACTGTTTGTCTTTTATGTTACAGAAATATATTTAAATTAGAAAGCAAAAGAATACATGGGTGTTTCTGTAGAATAACAGAAGGAACACTTAAATTCAAGCTTTACAAGTGAGACTTGAACACATGTGTAGACAGAGCCTGCATCTGTAGGAAGGTCATTAGTGCCCTGCCAAGAGCAAAGACATTTCTTCTTTGGATCTTGGCAAACTGCCCAGATATCTAAGCAAAGAATAGTAACCTGTCTTCACACTGTAACTTTGTGAAAAGTCCGCGGGAATCTCCCACCCTCCTGCTTTTCAACAGTAATGTTCCGAAGAGCAGAAAGAAACAGATGTGCAGTTTGTTCTTTCCCTTTTGATCATCAAACATTCAGACACTAACTAGGCTTCATGCTACTCTTAACAAGATGGAATTACCTACCTGTGAAAATAATTTACTCAAAGATACAGAAGAAGGTAACTGCTGAGGTCGAATTACTAGCTGTTCATTAGTTGGCTACAGAACCTTCACTAAGGACTGTGATACTGTGAACACATCTTTTTAATAGCTAAAATTAATACCTAAAATTGATTGCATCATTCTGTTATAACCATCTGCCTGACTTTCTGGGAGATTAAGCTTTACAGATAGTGATATTTACTATCCCCTCATTTCTTTCTTTTTTTTTTTTTTAATATATATTTTATTGATTTTAGAGAGGAAGGGAGAGGGAGAGAGCGATAGAAACATCAATGATGAGAGAGAATCATTGATTGGCTGCCGCCTGCACGCCCCCTACTGGGGATTGAGCCCACAACCCAGGCATGTGCCCTTGGCTGGAATCGAAGCTGGGACCCTTCAGTCCGCAGGCTGACGTTGTATCCATTGAGCCAAACCAGCTAGGGCTTCCCCCTCATTTCTTATCCCAACTTGCTTTGCACTGAAGTAGTATGTGTTCATAGTTTTCTTAATCCTTATTTTCATTCAGTCAACAAATATTTGTTGAGCACTCTATGGACTACAAATTTGAGTCCAAGGTGGACCACTTTCAGTTCACAGTCTGAAATGGACCAGTGTGGGGGGTGGAAGTGGTTCACAGTCTAGTAAAAAATAACAGACATGTAAATAGGAAACCACAGGCTATGAGAGTCCTTAAAGGAAAAGTCTGTGGCGACAGAGATCTATAATTATAGCTCTTGCTACACACTGTTATTAATGCTTTGTATGTTAATTCTTAATCCTTAAAACTACTTTATTTGTTAAGCAGCTGCTATTATCTCCATTTCACTGTAGGGAACTTGCCAGGAACATAACGATACACCTAATGAGTTGTGGAGTCAGGATTTGAATCCAGAAGTCTAGTCTAAAGGCCATCTCTTTACTACAATCTACTGCCTCTAATCCTCTGGCCTAAAATAGTACCAGGTACATAATAGAGGTTCAGTGGTATATTGCTTAATAAATGAAGTGAGAACAGTTCATCCATTGATTTATAAGACTATATATATCATTGGAACTAGTGACCTAAAATAATTTTGCTAACTATACCAGGGACTACGGTGGTCACTAAGTTTCCAACTTTCTCAATGCTGTATCCAAAGTATATAGTAATAAAATATCTTAAATACCTTTTTGAAGTGTGTTAGGTTTGCTTCCAAACAATTATTTTACAGTTCCAAGTTTTTGGTAGTAATTTTACAAGATCCAGCTATTCCTTCAGTAATTGCATTCCAGTTGTGTTCAGGGCATTGTTCTAGGTAGTTGGAAAACAACAATAAATAAAATAGACAAGGCCCCGGTCATTAAGGAGTTTGCATTCTAAAGAGGGAAGAGGAATAATTTCTTACTCCCTTTTTCTCACCCACTCCAAGTGGAGAAGGGGAAATGACAAAATTAAAAACATGTGAATGCCATATTATAGAAAGTAACCATATACAATGTTCTTTATGAATCTAAAATCTACTTGGGAACATAGATGTGTGTTTGCATTAAAATTTGTTTATTTGGGGAATTATCGTATTCTATATTTAGATATGGATGGGGAAGAGACACGGGAAGTCAGGGAGAAACCTCCATAGTTTTCTCCTTTTTTTCCATTCCCATCCTGGTCACATGTTTGAGGAAGAGATTGCACTCATAGTCTGCTATGATCAGATTCATTTCTCTACAACTTGGCCCTTATTTCCTGAACTTCAGAGGTGAGGGTTGGAAAGTTAGAAAGATTCTTCAAGGTGGTAGTCTCCTCCCATCCCAGAGGCATGTCTCCTCTGAAAGAGGGAATTCTAAATATTAAAAAAAATCAAATGCTTCTATCCCAGTCAGTAGGCCACTTCTCTCATACAAGTAGAAATAGAGGTGTCAAGTAGACGTCCATTTACCCAGCATTGTCAAAGGAATAATCCACATGATTGAACTTTCCATCTACTTAAACTTACCCATTGTTTCCAAACATTTTTGTTAGGTCTTTTTAATAGAACTATTTCTCTTTTTAATTCTTTGAGCTTTATTTTCTCTGAGCTTAATTTATTTTCATGACTTGGGATCATCACTTTGAATATTAGTTGTTTTTGTACACATGTTCCTATTTTGTTTGGGGTCTGTTGAGGTCTATAAAGCAACTTCTCTCTTGTAACAGGTGTGCTCTTTGTACTTTTCCCCCTTCCTCCCTTTTAAAATTCATTTCCCTCTGGAATCAGGTCAACTGTCATTACATGTTGCTGTTGTTATTTAATATTAAAACTTATTATACTAATAATTAAGATGTTATTATTTTCTCATTTTTCTCAAAAAATAAAGGCTTCTTTTTCCTCTACCAAGTAGATAAGTTGAATCATAATTAATAATTTTATTAAAACTTTTAGGCTCATTGTGAATGGAAAATTTTAACCACTGTCACTCCTTTTCCT